CCCCCCTTACAACCACCCCTCTCGCTCCAACTTCCATCCCCAGTCTACATCTCCCCATATATTCATATCTGGAATTCTCTAATGGTTTAATCATGTTATATAATTATAATTTAATTTGTGTTCGTCAAGTCAATGGCTTCCTACAATAATTAACCTGAAATGGGCCAAGGTCAGTCTTACCAGCCCGCCCATTCTTTTACGTTTTTTTTGTTATCGTAAATATGTTCATTTAAAATGATATCATACTAATTCAGTTGCAGGCACTTATAGTTCCATCGATTTCACCATTTTTATTTCTTTATATATTTTGTACATTATATATCTTCATGTTTTAATTTCTTCACATCATGATATCACAGTATAAATGAATGTATTCACATTATAATGTCTGTGATTTAGGCTGGAACTTTAGACAAAGTTAAAAGTGCTGAAAATGCATCTGTGCATATTAATGATTCGGTGTCAGAGTTCTCTCACTGTAGTTACATATAGAATAGAAGTTTTCTTTAAAGACTTTTTCTAGCAAACACCATACTTACAACATCAATATGATCAAATAGTATGAATTCCTGTGTGTTTCTATATATATATGTAGATGTTCCTGATGTAGATGCTAAAATAAACAGCCCCTATCAATTAATAATTGATCATGATCAATTTATATCAATATTTCTTTTTCAGATGTTTTACTTATATAATTGTTTTAATGTTTCATTAACAAAGAAATTATATTTATCAATAAGTAAATATGAATTCTTCTCATTGTTTATTTATAAGTACATTCAAACCTGTTTTTCAGGCATGACGGTAACCATTTCAATAATTCCTAATAGATGCTTCTTTCTTGATGTTAAACTACCTGCTGTGTTCACCCTAATTAATGCCCTGGCTACTTTAAACCTTTCACCACTGTAGACCACAATGGACTCATCCAGATCAATGCATGGTAGAGTCTACTTAAGTTGCATAGGGGTGAAAGGGTTAATTAGCAATTTCGAAAAACAAAACAAAATTATTGTAGAGCCTTTTAATGTTCTCAGAAAACAGGTGTTAAAGACACTATACCGTCTTTGCGTATTGCAGAGTTATCTTCTCTTGAGAGCAGGTATTGACTGTTACGTCATTTGTTTGTGAGAGTAACGTCATCAATTTTTGATAAAACGACGTAATTTTCTCTCACAAACAAATGATGTAACAGTCAATACCTGCTCTCAAGAGAAGATAACTCTGCAATACGCAAAACCAGAATAGTCCTTGCAAGCTAATAAAATGCAGTGAAATGATTGGATGCTTAGACAAGGAAAAGGAAAGGGAACAAATAAAAGGAAGGATTTACAAAAAGGGAAGGGGACTGATTACGACAAATACGGTTTATAATGATCACCTGTCCATTTTTTTCTTCCCCTGCACAGTGTATATAGACAGGATTGATTGCTCATTTGTACATTAATTAGTATATATATTTGTTTATAGTGAGAGTGGAAGTAGACGGAGGGATAAGCGGAGATTCTAACGTGATAGCCGGTAAAAACACCACTCTGACATGCACCACTACGCCCAGTTACCCCCAGCCTACAGTAGAATGGTGGATGGCCGCTGAGAGGTTGCTCGGTAACAAGCTGACGCCTGGCACGAGTGACAGTAATGGTGCAATTATCGTCCGATCGGACGTATACTTCGTTCCTGATCAGGCGGACACCGGGAAAACTGTCAGCTGCATCGTAAAACAAGACATGTTACCGCATACCGCTTCCGCATCTCTTCTTATCACAGTGCATGGTAATGTTATCAAAAAATATATATGACGAAATTAATCTGCTATTTTTTTTACCTTATGGTATATATACATTTGTGGAATAAAATAACAAAGGGTTCACAGATGCCATACAGTTATGGACTTTCGTAGAGGTGAACATGAGGTTATATGAACCTGAGGAAGTGATAATAACCAAGACGAAGTCAATATCACCCCCTCAGGTCCATATAACCCCATATCCATTGCATTAAATGTCCTTGATTGTTAAAATAGATACTGATTATAATCTAACCAATGAGGATTTAGAGAAAAGTTGTGTCATCTTATAATCAAGTTAACCCTTTCACCACTGTAGACCATAATGAACTCATCCATATCAATGCATGGTGGAGTCTACTAAAGTTACATAGGGGTGAAATGGTTACCTGGTAATAACATAAAGCTACAAACTTCCACGCTCAGAGGCTCAAATGTGTTTGATTCTTATGGTGGCTCCATGTCACTTAATACGGAGATGACCCATCCGCCTGATTTTGTTCACATATCTTCCTCACGGTCTTTAGTAATATACATTATGAAAAATGTTAAAGATCGTCCACTTTAAATAGAAATTACGTTTGATGTGGATCGTCGTTAACAGAGTAAAACTAAGAATTTTGTGATAAGATATGTTATAATTTTTTTCCTGTATGTTGTAGAATAGGATAACATATGTGCTACCTATATATACTACCTATATATACTACCTTTATATACTACCTATATATACTACCTATATATACCTATATATACTACCTACATATACTACCTATATACTACCGATATATACTACCTATATACTACATATATCTACTACCTATATATACTACCTTTATATACTACCTACATATACTACCTATATACTACATATATCTACTACCTATATATACTACATAAATATACCTATATATACTACATAAATATACCTATATATACTACATAAATATACCTATATATACTACCTATACCATACTCCTCATCCCGTATGAGCAGGTTATAAGGATCATACGGAATGAGGAGTATGGTATAGGTAGTATATATCGGTAGTATATAGGTAGTATATAGGTAGTATATATACCTATATATACTACCTATATACTACCTATATATACTACCTATACCATACTCCTCATCCCGTATGATCCTTATAACCTGCTCATTACTTTAGATGTTCCATCCTCAACAAAATTCATTTTGCCGCCTCATTTAGCGTTCCACATGTCCATTACACTTCTTCGTGGTTTTTGAACACGTTTTATTTTCCCAGATTGTTTATCCACCCTTTACATTGGTTTTCTTGGTATTAATGATATAAAGTTCATCATTTGTTTTCTTCGGCAGAGCAACGTAACACTTATTTAAAGAGCAATGCTGATCTTGTATCTAATAATATTGTAAACAATATCTTACAGATTATATCAAATATATCTATTCCGTCTTTGCATATTGCAGAGTTATCTTCTCTTGTGAGCAGGTATTGATTGTTGCGTCATTGATTTGTGTGAAAAAATTACGTCGTTTTCTCAAAAATTGATGACGTTACACTCACAAACAGATGACGTAACAATCAATACCTGCTCACAAGAGCAGATAACTCTGCAATACGAAAAGACGGAATATAATTTTCTATATAAATTATCTTATAAATTGTGTAAGATATCTTATACTGTATACAGCTGTATATGATAGAAAATAACATATAAAAGAAATTTATTTAAGACATCTTTCATATTACATTTACATTAGATATCTTGGATCAAAATTTCTATAGTATTGTAAGATAGTATGATATCTAATGTATAATATAAAATGAAAGATATCTCATAAAATGTATGTAAGTTATTTTATAAACATATAAGATATCTTATCAGTATATCAAATATCTTACATAATAATACTAGGCAAATGAGATCAAATGTCCGAATCCAAATCTTCCAAATGTTCCTATGGCCTTACGTAGAGATAACAAGATAAAATTAAGTCCCCCAAACGAAGTGGGGGACTATTTGGGTTTACTCCGTATCTTCTTCTTCTTCTTCTCCGCATTCTCTTTCAAAAACTGTTGGATGGAAATTAATGAAACTTTACACAAGTGTTTATCATGGTAAGGGGGTATGCAATTGTGCAACCAAGATGGATACTACGGCCTCTGATTGGTCGAAATTAAATATTGATTGATTTTGCTCAAATTTGGTATGTAGGTGTATTTTTGCATCTTTTAGACAATGGGGGCAGTTTGGGGTACTTCTGTAATGGTCCCGCATTATAATTAGTACTAACTTGTTAAGTTTGTGACTATTTCTTATACTCATGTCTGTCACCTTGTGTCACCTTACAATATATTTACATTCATATATCCACCGGAGGTAAAGTGACACCTGGCGTCAGCTCACTTCCAAAGCACAACATTGCAATAAGAGTTGTTTCCATTTGTACGGTCCAAGCTACAAATTACCGATATATGGCTTCGCTTGGTATGGAGGGAGAATATTTTTGAATGTGTGAGACGTATGGCTCACGTGGCGTGAGACATGTTTCAGCGTGAGTAAGGACGCCTCAGCAAGATATTTTGTCTCACGCTGTGAGAGTTGGCAACCCTGCATGACATCTCAAAGATTATACCTCTGTATAAGATATCTGGTGTGAAATTTCAGATATCTCTATCATATATATAAATAATGATTTCATTGTAGGTAATCATTGTTTAGAATCATGTTTGTGTTATCTCTGTTCGTAGTATCAAGTCAGTGTCATCCGTGTTCTATGTTTCTCTATCATCATATTTTTTAGAGACTAACAAAGCATGGAGGGAGTTTGAATATTGATTTTAACAAAACACTTAAACGCATGACTTATTTAACAAATTTTGTTTCTAAAGATAATCAATTATTTTGAACTGATGCTCTTGATAATTTCATTATTTCTGAATCACTTCTTGCACAAAGTGCCTGTGAGGTTATGAATTATGGTGCAACATCTGTCATCCATCAGTCAACTTTTTTATTTGAATTGCTTCTCCTTTAAAACTGAAAGACACTTGGTCCAAATATTTAACCTGCAGGTAACTGGGATGGAGTGCTTTAAGGTTTCTACATGTACATGACCTTGACCTACTTTTAAGATCACAGGGGTCAAATATCTTTAAAACATCAAACAACATTATCCAAAGGACCATTATGATATCTCTACCGTCTAACTGTATACATGTTTCTGCTTACTAGGCATGCAGAGACAAACTCTATCATCAGAAATGGCCAAGGGTCTGGTCCTGTCCTTTAGGACTTAGTCCCTGGGTCAAAAAAATAGAAAAGTCTGAGATCACCACCATATATTTACATATTATATACAATTGCCGGGCATGATTAAATAACCAAAACTTGTGCTACCAGGATTGCACCTGGGCCCTTGCATTTGGGACTTAGTCCTTGGGTTGAAGATTGGAGACATCTGAAATCCTCATCTCATTATAATATATATATGCTTGCTGGATATGGAAATAGAACACAAGCAATCTACCAAAGCATTTACTTTTAAATCAAATATCTTGTCAGGATTGCATAAATAACCAGGGCAGCAATAATACAGGACCTATGGACCTCTTGTTGAATTTGCTTCTGCAGTTATGTCACTTTATCAGCTTAACAGTTTATTAGCTCACCTGGCACGAAGTGCCAAGTGAGCTTATGCCGTGGTACGGCGTCCGGCCGTCGTCTGTCTGGCCATCCAGTTGTCCGGCCCTCGTCCAGCATCAATATTTTGCTTTAAACGACTTCTTCTTAATAACCGAATAATAAATAAATGACCTTCACCTATTTTCAAGGTCACAGGGGTCAAATTTGTTTAAAACCTTTAAACAACATCTTCTGAATAACCAAGAGGCCTAGGATGATGCTATTTGACCAGTAGCATGCTGTAATAGAGGGCTACCAAGTTTGTTCAAACAAATGACCTTCATCCATTTTCAAGATCATAGGGGTCAAATATGTTTAAAACCTTTACACCACGTAACCTGAATACCCAAGAGGCCTAGAACAATGATATTTGTCCAGCATCATGCTCAGATGAAGGGCTACCAAGTTTGTTCTAACAAACGACCTTCACCTATTTTCAATGTCACAGGGGTCAAATATGTTTAAAACCTTTAAATAACTTCTCCTGAATATCCAAGAGGCATAGGCTAATGAAATTTGGAAAGTAACATGCTGGGATGAAGGGCTACCAAGTTTGTTCAAGGTCACAGGGATCAAATATGTTTAAATCTTTAAATGACTTGTTATGAATATTCAAAAGGTCCAGGGTAATGATATTTAGCCAGAAATATGCCGGAACGGAAGGCTATAAACTTTCAAGGTCGCAGGCGTCATATGTTTAAATCATTTAATAGATTCAAATGGATCGAACACAGATATTTTGCCTGTAGCTGTATATTAGTCCACTTTTAAGATTACAAGTGTGAGATTAATACCAGATGAGCGATTCAGGCCCATTGGGCCTCCTGATTTAATTTCACATGAATTATCATAACATGATACATCAGTTCAGTTCAAAATGTGAATAATGATATTTTACCAAAAAAGATTCATTATAATCTCACATTTGTCTCTTGACGTTTTAAATGCATAATTTAATTATCGGTTTAGAAAAAAAAACACATATGAATTGAAATTGCCCTTAACATAATCTGTGCTTGTTTCAACAGGTCCACCATCAGCTAATGCCCATCCAAACAAAAATGTGACTCTCAATGAGCACGTTACATTCACCTGTAGTGTGACGTCAACACTCCCCACTTACAATGTCACGTGGTATAAAAGGACCAGTAATACGGAGGGAACTCGTATAACGTCGGTTAACGAAAAGTACGCCGTGGACGATAATCACCCTGTATATAAATTGTGGGTCTACAGTGTTGTAGTCTCTGATAACGGCATCTACTATTGTATTGCGCAATCAGCTGCCGGAAATTCGTCACGAGCGGAAGTGTCGCTAACGGTCTACAGTAAGTTATTCAATGAACGGAAGAAATTCATCCTCACAAACATTCGTATACCCCGTGTGAAATGAACAGCTCGTTTTTACATCGTGAATTTTTTCGGTCATTGCATTAAATGTGGCAAGTAATAAACAAGATATTTGTGTGTTGTTTAAAATTTCACAAATTCAAATGTCATTAAAATAATTTTTGAGATCATGTGCTGCCTGAATCATTCAAAAATTTCAAAACAGCTGCTCATAACATTGCCAGACCATTGTCAGTGAAGCAGTGTATGGACAATATCTTGTGTCGTTATGTTACAACATATTGCAGTAATTAGCTGGGTCACCACATGGGTTTTCTCTGGGTACGTTACTTCGGTTTCCTCACACATTCAGAACCTCTGCTCGCTTTGACGGGACCAGAAGTATCGGATAAATATATGTTAGAAAATTTGTTTCACAATTGTTGTACAATAAATTAAATTTATATTCAAAAATGACAAAACAGATGTTTTCTTTGTTTCTTTTCAAGCTGCACCATCAAAACCTTCATTTTATGGCGGTTTGACGAGCCTTACTATCGCTGAAAACAGCAAAATTGAGGCAACGTGCGTGACAACCGTTCACCCAGCTAACACTGCCTCCTTCACCTGGTTCTACGTGGGCACGACAGGGGAGACAGAGGTTGATGATTCCTTCGTCAATGCCAATGTCCTAAACATCCCTTCGGCTGACAGGACGAAAGCTGGAACATACGTCTGTCAAACCTTCAACAGCTTTGGCAGCAGCAGGGCTAACTTCACAGTTGATATACAATGTAATATTTCCTTTTTTATGATTCATATATTATATAATAATATTTTTTAGCTCACCTGGTCCGAAGTACCATGGTGAGCTCATTCCATACCACAGCTAGCGTCCGTCGTCCTTCGTCCATCCGTCAACTTTTCCTTTAAAACACTACTAGCCATGAACGACTGAGCAGATTTTGACCAAATTTGGTCAGAAGCATCCTTGGGGAAAGGGGAACAAATTTTGTATAAATGGTGGGTCTGGCCCCCCTGGGGGCTGAGGTGTGGGGCCCAATAGGGGAAACATTGCAAATTATGCTTTAAAATTCTTCTTCTGTAGGAATGAAAGGATTTTGTCCATATTTGGTGTGTAGCATTCTTGGATAAAGGGGAACGAATGTTGTATAAACCGTGGGTCTGTCCCCCATGAGGGCTGAGGGGCGGGGCCCAATGTGGGAAATATAGCAAATTCTTTAAAATCCTTCTTCTTCTGTAGGAATGAAAGGATTTGTTCCATATTTGGTGTGGAGCATCCTTGGGTAAAAGGGAACCAATTTTGTATAAACCGTAGGTCTGGCCCCTCAAGGGCCTGAGGGGCGAGGCCCAAAAGGGAAATATAGGTAAAACCTTTATAATCCTTTTTCAACCATAGGGATCCAGGGATATTATCCTAATTTAGTCTGTAGCATCCTAAAGCAAAAGGGACTCAATTTCGTATAATCAGCGAGTGTGGCCACCCTGGAGATAGAAGGGAGGGGCCCAAGAAGGGAAACATAGCAAATTCTTCAAAATCCTTTCTTCTCCTGTAAGAATGACAGGATTTTGTCCAAATTTGGTATGAAGCACCCTTGGGTGAAGGGGACCAATTTTGTATAAACGATATGTCTGACCCACCCTGGAGGCAGAGAGGTGGGGCCCAATAGGGAAATAGAGTTAAAACCTTTAAAATCCTTCTTCTACCATAGGGATTAAGAGATTTTATCCTTATTTAGTCTGGAGCATCCTTGGGTCAAGGGGACTCAATTTTGTATACTTGGTGGGTATGACCCCGCTAGGGGCATAGGGGTGGGGCTCTGTTTGAAGTTTGTTCTCGCTATATCTCAAGTACTTGATGGATTTTTCTGAAATTTCATATTTACTTACAGCACCTACCATGGAGTGCTATATCTTTACGTCATACCAATTCTTTTTAACATATTCATGTGAGCGATACATGCCCTTTGGGCCTCTTGTTTATTTTTTAAGTTTTCCGAGAACTTAGTGGCCAGAGGTGTATCAGGTGTTCACTGATGAAAACCGATATTGACTTGGAGCACTTGATTTTTGTTGAAGGACAGGGTGTTTCTAATAATAGAATTATAACGTGTCTCGAAACAAACACACCATCCCGCTTTTGTTCCTTTATTTTCAGATTACTTACATTACTGTTTTGAAAAAAAATCTTGGGTCGATAAATCTAGGTATCGACCTGAGCCAAAGGACTATACGTTGTAATTGAATAACATAACACTCCCCCCAACAACCCCTCCCCCTGAAGTTAGGGGAGTGGGGGTATACTGGAATCAGGTTCTCCGTCTGTCTATCCGAAATTTGCGGATAACAATCCTTGCAGCTTGTAAATGTGCGTAATGTACTTTTCATTGGGCTATCTCCCCTTTTTAGGAAGTCATGGCCCTTGGTTCATAAACCTTCTCTAGACTATAACATTGTATAGAAAACCCAAGAATATTTTTAATTTTGATTCAATTCCTTCCTTTCCGTTTTGAAGAGGTCAAAGGTCAGGAATGAATAACATTACTGAAATGGCTAAATATCTCAGAAAAGGTAGGTATTTTGTAAACACATATGCATTAAAGTATCGTAGTCAATTATGCAGGCTATATTGTGAAAAACTTCCAAGGTCATTAGGTCAAAGGTCAAAGGTCACAGATGAATTATGTTACTGAAATGGCTAACTATCGCAGAAATGGTAGGTATTTTGTATACACATACCTTGGAGTATATGTAGCATTGGTGCAAGCTACATTGTAACAAAATTCTGAGGTCATTGAGTCAAAGGTCACAGTAGTGGTGTTTGTCTTTTCTTTCAGTCTGTAGGTACGACATCTGAGGTTATACTTTTTTTTTGACCCTTGATCTTGCTATATATTTTTTCCTTGTTTATTGAATATGCTCCGGGGGCCATCCCACTCCCTACCGCAAATATTACATCCAGATGTACGATCTCCACCTTATGACCGTTTATACGATTGCTTATTATGAAGAGAAAACTCATATGCTACCAGGATTGTGCCCTGTTACTCTTGAGGATTGATTAGATATAATTTGGCGACGGTCAAAGTGCCCTTCCTATAACCATATACATGTATGTTCTTACTGAGCATGAAAACACTACCGTAACAGTCTTTTAGGTTTAGTCCTGCCCCTGATAATGTATTTGTAATAATACTTACAGTGACAATACTTGCTTTAATATCCAGTTGAGCGATACTGAGGCTATCTGGGCCGCTAAATGTCAGTCTGTATTTCTCAGAAAGTCGAACTAGTAGTGTTTTCTAGTCTTTTATTTACGGTCACAGCCCGTATAATAAAATGCATTTGATGTTTTGTTTATATAGATCCTCCGAGGTTGAATGTTGGAAATGTTCAGACAGATTTTTCTGCTACCGCAGAAGACCTCGTAAAACTGTCATGCAATGTCATAGCCAATCCTCCCCCGACAGCCTATCTCTGGACGCATGAGAATAACAACGTAGCAACTACGAAGGATCTCGAGGTGAAAGTGAAGGCTGGCGAGCACACCTACACCTGTGTGGCAACCAATGAGATGGGGCCCTCCCAAGGAATCATTTATACAGTCGTAGCTCCACAAGTGACCCGTAAGTTTTTGTTTGTCATATTGTAATCATATCTAATTTAGCGGTTACAACATTGTTTTGTGATATGTGCAATAATCTAGTTACTGTAAACATATATAATCACCACATCGTATTAAAACGTTGTATACCTGAATATCATGGATGGCTGCATCTGTAAATCACAACTGTCTTTAGCTTACAAAAAGCCTGGTGCAAACATATTACCGGTATGTCTGATTCAAGGTAGAGGGTAGACTTATTACACGACAGTGAAATAGCATTTGCTGGCATTTCTACGAAACTTAAATTTGGTTAGACTTATATCACAAGGCAGGGGTTCAAATTGCAAGATATTAATGTGGTATATATATGTATTTTGAGAATTGTGACTGATGCACCTAATATGCTTATAGATTTATCGTAACATTTACAGTAGCTTACGAGATGAGAGTGAATAACGGATATAAAGATATTATTGATTTTGTTTTAGCAAAGGATGTAATTTTTACAGAAAAAAAAGTATTTTTTCCCATTTTGCGATCCAAATAAATCAATAATTATACGTTCGTGGACCTAAATTTCATTGTTTCCCAACAAAATCCGTTTTCGTTGGTACACGAATTCGTGATTTAAGAGTACACACTAAAACAGAAAATTGCTTTATATCAAACTTGTAATTACTGTGTAGACCTATGTGGATTCGTGAATGAAGATTGAATGAGGATTACCCACGAAATCAACAAAATTAAAACAAAAACCATGAAAATAAGTGATTTTACAGTATTTGATGAACAATTGTGAAAATAAGAATATGTAAAAAAAATATTTGAAGTGCAAAATGTAGTTTAGAATGTAACCTATGATATAATATAGGGTTCTGATTAAGAAGTGTTATCTTGTTACGACCATTAGACTGTTTTAATAATTATTTGACCTACTATTTACATAAACATATAGAACAAATGTCACTCTAAGTCCCAATATTTCGGCCTCCATATGTCACTCTAAGTCCCAATATTTCGGCCTCCATATGTCACTCTAAATCCCAATATTTTGGCCTCCTGGCCTCCATCAAGGGCGAAGGTCAACAGTTGTTTCAAGTAACGTTCATCTTGCTTATTCGGAGGTACAGGAAATGACGTACAAATGTATGACGTCACAATGACTCGTTGAATCTATGACGTCGTAATATTACGCCGTCATAAACCCCAAACGTCAATGAAATGTTAAGAGACATGTTTCTCCCGTCAGAGTTCCTCTGGATATTACACCCATACATAAATGTGGTATTCAATTTTCTTATCCATATGTCCTCAGTTAAGAGTCTTTAGGACTTGGCTTCCATAAACGATTTTACAATTTTGTCTCTTTTCACCAAAAGAAGCAACACAAGTGTGTTTTTGATTAAATTAACCTCAAACCTGATACAGTATTCATGCATTTACTTTAAACTGTATTTATTTCTGGTAATATACAATACATTATATGTTTGATATATAAGCATTCATGCATTGATGTGATCAGTAAACATCCATGCATTGATGTGATAAGTACACATCCATGCATCGATGTCATCAGTAAGCATCCATGCATTGATGCGATCAGTAAACATCCATCTATTGATGTGATCAGTAAACTTCCATGCATTGATGTCATGAGTAAGCATCCATGCATTGATATGATCAGTAAACATCCATCTATTGATGTGATCAGTAAACAGCAATGCCTTGATGTGATCAGTAAAAATCCATGCATTGATGGGATCAGTAAACATCCATGTATTGATGTGATCAGTAAACATCCATGCATTGATGTGATCAGTACACATCCATGCATTGATGTCATCAGTAAGCATCCATGCATTGATGTGGACAGTTTTTGTTGTTGAATTTTTATGGTGGTCCAAACCAAATGTATATGTATGATATATTAGTTATTAATCATGTATAGGTTTGTATACACCACAATCTACCGTGAATTTCTGATTGTCAATTTTCTATTTGCTGTAAATGATGATATTACAAATCAAGGAATCTAAAGCTTGGTATGAAAAGTTTAAATTTATGAAAGGGATAAAATATTTTATGCTGGTTTATATTATCTTTTTATTTATTTATTCATTTATTTAGTTATATATAAATTTATTTATTTGTGTTTTTGCAGTCTGAACGCCATCTGCGAACAAATAGTACTTATTCGTCAATGTGGAAAATATATCATAAAATCGAGCAGTGTTCATGAAAAGAATGTTAAATTTAAACAGTAGACATATCGTCACCTTCCATCTGTTGCATGATCGTTTTACTAACATCATGCTGTATGTAACAATATATTGACACATATATGGTTTGTAGTTTGAATGCTTCGCATGGGAAAGTCTTGATATCTTTTGCTTTAACATAGCTATAATTCATAAACATTGTAACTCGTAGTTTATAGACAAAAAATAAATTCTTCATCTTTAAAGTTTTATAACTTTTTTATATATAAAAAAATTAATTATTTATAATTCAGATTTTTTTTTTTTCCCATTTTCATTACTTATAATTGTAAGCATATACATGTAAAATATGGATATTTCAGTGCCTGATACTGGTGCATCTACCGCGGATGTGGAAGGTCTCTCGGGCGGTGTCATCGCTGCAATCGTTCTAGGAGTCATCTTTATTATCATCATTCTCATCATCTGCTGTGTTGGCTGTAAATATTACAAAGGTAAACAAATTGGAAAGGAAGCGACAGAAAACTGTGCCATATAGTGTTATGCCATGGGAAAAGACCAGGGAAGTATATACCACAGGAAATAGAAAAACTAAAGTGATGCGTTATTTCATCGGAAAAGACAATAAACTGTACCACAGTATTATTTCATGTGAATTTCCTGTAGCAACACATTTTAATCACCAACCATTACGATACTCGGACGATGCTTTATTATGTACCTGCATACTTTTTTGTCCAGCACCACTAAAAGGTGATTTCTATTATTTTCGGCACTATTGTTTTGCACACAATCACAATACTTATGATCGGATGCCCTATAATTATGAACGTGTTGAATATAGGGAGAAAGTATTCATAAATCATTTATTCCGAATTTCCCTCCACTAACAAATCCTTAAATGACCAAAGCTGTTAATAGAACGTAAAGAGAAAACTAACCAATTGTGCAGTTTATGATTTTACTGTATTAGTATAACCAGTAAACTTCCTCATTCGCTTAATTAGTATACATGAATATGGTTAATCAGCTAAAAATGTAATCTTTCTCATTCTCGTACAGAAATGTGATTTGTTAGCTGTAAATATACTGTATAACATTAAATGTTTTATGTGTATAAACATTCGTGGTTGCTATTGAAAACAAAAATAAATATAACAAATTTGAATGATATATGTGTCTACTGTTTTTTAATATAGGATATCCACGAAAGTTTGTACCACGAAACGATCTAAAAGGCTTCAAACCACTAAGGAATGTACCCACAAATATTTTGTGTTATACAGTAGTAAACTTATTTATCCTCGTATCTATAGTGAAGTGTTGTTACTAAATTATTTCAATTTGGAATTCAGACAAAACGAAGGACGACAAAGTTATGCGTACCACCAAGAAGTCGAAAACTAAACACAAGCCGAGTTCAGTGGTACCTGACACTGACGATAGACGATCTACCCTGTATCCTTCAAAGGAAAAGGACCCTGCCTATCTGTTTGGACCTACTCGGCCGTCATACCGTGCTGAACAGCGTCACTATCCAAGGTATGGTGTTACAGCGTAATAAGTCCTGTTTAAAGCTTAAACAAATTCAAGTGTCTTTTAAAATTATGCAGAAAACATGAACACGAAAGTCACAATCACTCGCTGGGTGTCCCCGGCAGTACGTTTCAGTGAGGTAGCACTATAAAGTCGGCAACACTCGCTGGGTGTCCCCGGCAGTATGTTTCAGTGAGGTCGCACTATAAAGTCGGCAACACTCCCTGGGTGTCCCCGGCAGTACGTTTCAGTGAGGTAGCACTATAAAGGCGGCAACACTCGCTGGGGGTCCCCGGCGGTAGTTTCAGTGAGGTAGCACTATGAAGTCGGCATCACTCGCTGGATGTCCCCGGCAGTATGTTTCAGTGAGGGAGCACTATAAAGTCACCATCACTCGCCGGGTGTCCCCGGCATTATGTTTCAGTGAGGTAGCACTTTAAAGTCGGCATCAGTTCCACGCTATCACAAGGAGACAAACACGAACATATATCGCAGCCTCCCAAAACACACACGCATGCATCCTACACACAGGGGAGGCCGTCCTTAAATGAACATAGCTGTTGATAGGACGTTAATCAATACTAAACTAAACCAAACCAAGCTTTCAAATGTCGAATGCATTGATCTAAATTATGTTTTCTTCTTTTAGGGAAATTTCTGCTCATGACTATCATCATGATTACAGCCAAAGGTAAGTAGTTGGTTTCTTATATAGATCCTCAAATAGGGATAACGATAGTATTGATTCATGTACACTTACAGAGATGATAAAAATATATAATATTGATACATGTACATATTATAATTACGCATAATGTTGATTCACGAACTCGTTTAGAGATGAAATATATATATAATTAATTTGTGTATACTGGTAGAGATGATAAATAGATATATTCCGTCTTTGCGTATTGCAGAGTTATCTTCTTTTGAGAGCAGGTATTGATTGTTACGTCATTGGTTCGTGTGAGAAAATTACGTTGTTTTCTCAAAAATTGATGACGTTACTCTCACAAACAAATGACGTAACAATCAATACCTGCTCTCATGAGAAGATAACTCTGCAATACGAAAAAGACGGAATACGTGCTTTTGTAGAGATGATTAAAATGTGTATAATACTTATTCAAGTGCCGCGTCATTGACTAAGTTTAGGGATCAATATATACATGCTATTGACATGTAACTGTCAGGTTCAGATAGAATGTTTCCCGTTCACTTTAAGAGGTCATTATAATAATAATCCCCGATTGATTCAATTCAAACAATGGTAATGGAGGTTGATTTGAATCGCGTTCAACTGTAGGGATAACGATAGGTTTGATTCACCTACAAATGACCTAAAGACATAGTGGTTTAATTATGTGTCAGACCCAAGCTATGTATGATTTCCTCAGTTAAGTCAACAATAAATGCTACCTTACTGAGACTTTGCAATGGCATGGCAAATATTTATTCCAACATTTTATAAAAAAAATGCTTTAAAAATAGCTTTTTCAATACCAGTCGGATTTTGTTTCCCGAAGAAATGTAGCAACGCCCCCAAAGTATTGCTTGTTTTCTCTTTATTTAACCTCTGGGTCGGACAGCATTGTATTCAGATCATAAACCAGAATATATGCATTAACATAGCGATAAATAGTTTTAAATGTCCACGTGACGGTAAAAATATAAATAAAGCAAAACATGAAGACTAGTATAATCGGCTAGCGCTTTCGCACAACTTGGGGCTCTTCAGGCGATTTAAATTTATTTGTGACGTCATAAATGGAGTACACATACTTAAGACGTCAAACATAATGACGTCATTAACAAATTAACATATATACATTGTATAATGCTTAGGTACATGTTATTGACAAAGAAAAATTAAGTCAATGAAATTTAAAAAAAAAAAATTGCATTAAGGTATACCGTTAAATATCATATATAAAACTTAAGCGATACTATTGTTCTAATATGTCTATTATATTACATTACCTGATTCACAGTGGATACATGTTACGTAACTGCACCTGTCATTAATCAAAACATATGTAAAATAGTAGATTTGCATTAAGGTATATCGTTAAATATCCTCCATCAGATCTATACTAGAATGTTTATTCTACAATGACTGTTGTTATATTGTTTTGTTTTATTTGATTCACAGAGGTGGTTACGATAATACATTCTACATCCCTGCACCTGGCAGCGAAATGGACGACATGTAAGCTCTGAACTTGATCACAGTTATTAATAACGAGTTTTCCTGAAAACTGTTCAGCATTTTATATTCCTACAAAACAGATTTGTTATATGAACGGAGCCTGATTTTATCGCGTGTGATATAAGATGATACTGGGAAAAGTTGAAATATGGTATTTTTGTGAATGAATATTTCAAGCATAATTGGCGAATATGGAGATATTCTCATTATGATTCTTTACAAAAATCGCGGTGTGGAAATTTCAGCAATGTCAATCGTTCAGAAATATATATTTCCTATATAACCATTATCTATAACTCGACAGATATGTATTCGTGTGTGGATATTTCTGTGCTAATTAACTGAATGCGGAAAACACGAACATTTGCACATCGCTGATGTCATTTGGGAGGAAATATTTTGGTGGTTTACGACGGGGTAACACCCTTCAATGGTAAATTCCTTATTCGCCCAATGTTACCTTCAGCCTTCATATGTAATTTCAATATATTTAAGGCTGTGTACTAATGTTCGCTGTCGGGATAATTTCGCCTACATCATTGAAGAAAGCGAAAGTTAAATCAATTTTTTTTTTTGGGGGGGGGATATAGTGTTTCCCATCCATGTCCGTCCCATCCCGTCCCGATTCAATGTTAACACTGATCTTCATTCTTTCATAGATTTTCGTGAATCTTTCTAAACAGGGGGCATTCATGTCTTACAGACATTTTCTAGTTTTCATATTTATATTTGATACAGGTCGGTGTTTAGAGAGACTGGTTTCCGGTCCCGACGCCAGAGGTTACCACATGCCCTGCCCCCACTGGCGACCGCTTCGTATACCCGGGAGGCCAAACGAAGGAAGAATCAACGCAAGAAAAACCAAAAGAAAAGACAACAGAAAAGACAGGCTGGGGAAGGCATGGAAAACCCGGCCAAATCCAAGGACACCTCTCCTCAGATAGTCATAGATGACAGTCAGCCGGAAAAGGACGCAGCCCAGGATACAAATATCCTACTAGGGGACCAGTTCAAATGATAAAAAAAAATAGTTCAAAATCTTAGATAGTTCAGAGGACAGCTAGTTCCGAATTGAAACAAATTATGAGCCCTGATCCAGTATTAGTAACATGTATGTCATGACTACGACTGTTCTGCTTAATGTATATGAGTTGTCATATATAAACTACATCAGCATCCGGTGCGATTTACCTAAGACAAATCCTGATTACAAGCATATTAGTAAGAGAAGGAACAAGAACTATCCTGCCCATGCCATCATCGGAGAGAGACAAAGTCTTGGACTGAATAAGTTTATTATTGCGCCCCACCAAAGGGCCTGCAAAGTGGACTGTTGATTAATATTCCAAATGCATCAATTTAAGTTAAATAGTAAATTTTAAAAATGCTTATTTTCAGAAAACTTTAACCTGCCGTTGAAGGTTCCTTGTCGAGAATACCAGGCTGTGTGCTGTATAACTATGTAAGGATTAGGGAAATTGTTAAAAAAAAATATATGAATTTTGGGAACAAGAAAATCTTGAGCATTGAAAAAGTGCAAACAAGTAGGTTTTTATCTAATGGAGTAGACCAATATATATATAATTTCAAGAATATTATGCTTTTTGTTTTGTAATTTCACTTTCTGTTTTCCAAATATCCATTTGTGATCATCTTACTTTACATCATTCCTTCGTGCAAATTCGTTGGAAAATCACGAAAAAGACATGAACAATATGTAACAAATAAGAAATGAATGGAAGTTCAGGGTTGCCAACCTCTTAGGAGTCCAGTGTGGGAGATCTCCCTCCACTGGGTTTTTCAATGTGTGAGACTTTTGACGGCGTCGCGGCGTAACGTCGTTTTGGGTGTTAATTACAAATGTATCAAACAAATCCTGGCTTTCTCTGACTACTATAACATCTGCATTGTTGATATTTTCACTTCAAGATCTTTGTAGGAAAATAAAACAAAACATTTTTTGCAGATATATAAAAGATTTTTATTTATTAAACAAAAAAAACTGACATCAGAAATGCAACACATCATATAATCAAAGGCCTTTCTTGTAACGATTCCACCCTTGCCTAGAACAGGTAGCAGTCTTTTTTCTGTATTTCCATGACCTGTTTAAAAAACAGTTCATATCAAAAGTAAGAACTTTACCATAGTAACATGAAAAAGTTCATAACATGAAAATATGATAATTTGACAGTGAAAATTTTTTTACAATTACTTCTGGCTACTATTCTAAGCAACAAATAACAGTAAGACCCTTAGCATTTATACCACGTTTGCAAAATCCGATCACGTTATTTTTTCATCGCATCAGATTAAAATTGTTTATTACTACAAGTCTCTGGTGTGTGAAATCATATACGCCACTTTACTGCAAAAAATAACTTCGAACTTTTCATCAGCCATCAGCGGCTGTCTGTTCGTGATTCAAGAATCGTTTTCTCTTAATATTTGTGAAGGCAGGGCCTAAAAACAATCTCCTAATACACGACGATATTATTTAAAACTTTCTTTTTCTGTGCGATAGGTACGTTCAATATTAAGTTTACGAGTGAAAACAACTTGATTGATTGATTGATAGGTTTTATGTCCGCTTCACTACCGAGTAGTTCGGTATAATTATCCACCAGACGATTGTGAAAACAACTCACCTTACGATATATTACATTCGTTTCCACCGGATGTAAAGCGACACCTCTCGTCAGCTCACTTCCAAAGCACAACGTTGCAATAAGAGTTATTCCCCTTTGTACGACCCAAGCTAAAAATTGCCGATTTATGGCTTCGCGTGGGATAGAGGGAGAATATTTTCGAATGCGTGAGATTTATACCTCACGTGGCGTGAGGATTGTTTCAGCGTGAGTAAGGACGTTTTTGCGTGAGTTTTTGTCTCACGCCGTGGGAGTTGGCAACCCTGGAAGTTAAACCAACAGTTTTGTCGAAATTATTTGAAATTGATGACTACCCTATGTCTGATGAAATACTGAAGGGATTGTGTGACCTATCTGCGACAGAGAAAAGTATTTTTCTGGATGTTTTATTGGAGTGGTACCACATAACATGTCTGTGATATGTAATTGTTCGTACTAAGATAATGGAATTGCAATGCTAAAGCACCTGATATGTCTGCTCTGATCACAACTGCAGAGTTACACAACATGAAATTGTGATGAAATATATTTCTGTGATATGAATACCGAAAAGTATTGAACTTTTAAGAATTTTAACTTATTAAATGGTATAATTTTATAAAATAATTATTTACACGATATATATTATTTATTACAATCATTAAATATGTGTGTTTGCATTCACCTATTAAACATGGGTCCCAGCTGATTTTTTAGCAATATTTTTTTGCTTTTGTTTTCAAGAAGTCTTTAACTTAAGAATCGCAAAGTAGAACGGTGTATAAAGATATGACCATAAATATGATCATTTCAGAACATTTATAAACATACTTGCTTTGATAGTAGAATGATATTCAGACTTACAATTAGAGACAAAGTACAAGCTGCCCCCTTGGATTTAAATATCTATACCCGTCCTGTATCAAGAAGGTTTCTCATGCTAGCTTTAGGTTATGGCTCGGTCGGGGTTGGATTTTGAATCGTAACAATAGGCAACGCGATTGCTTGATTTATATCATAAAGTTCTTGCGCTACAATGTTCACGTTTTACATACTAAATGTATATAAGAACAATAAGTCCAGAAATAAACGGTTTTAATTGATAAAGCAGTACATTAAAAATTAAAAAGTAATATACCTGGTTTCTTTTCTCCTCTCATTTCATCCGTAACTTAAGGCCGTACCTACGTTTGATACTTGGATCATATGCATTTTATCTTGAAACTAAAGGAAGTATATTTCATTTCTTTATATCTCCTTTATATCTCATGTGTAATATCATCATTTAAGAACGAATTATTGTAATTACAATGAGTTTATACTTGCTTTTCAGTTATATATTTTTCTCATTTTATACAAAAACAGATTGTAGATATGGTTTTGTAAATTTGTACAAATACTAGAATTCAGTGTAACACATGTATATAAGTGTAAATGTAAATGCTTTTAGTGTAAATAGAAGTTTAAGCAGTACTTGCCTGATTGTGTGCCATTTACGTCATACTTATGACGTCATCATAATTAATTTTACGTGTGTACGGAAGAACCTTGTTAATCCTGATGATACGGGGGATATATTGCCTTACTGGCAAACCAGCTTTAATTCTCCAGCGATGCTGTATAATCCAGCTACGTGCTCACCACATGTTGTTCCACAACGTCGAGCGGTATCAGTGGCGTGACCGATGGCGTTCGCACTTTACACTAGTGGTCGTTAGAAATAAGACTTGTTTTGTAAAAAACACACTGCTAGCGTAACAAGTACACAGAAGATGGTTTGGTTAGCAAACTCAGTTTAGATTGACATTATTTTTAAATGCATCCAGAGGAAGAATATTTCAAAAACTTGTACTTCTACCAGTGATCAGGAGAACCTAGCTTGGCATCCCAGATGTTTTGGGTCCCTGGTTTCGGACGAAAAAAATTCTTTGTTGATATTATCGTTATGACACTTGAAGAAATTCTGTTCAATAATTATTGTCTCCTTTTAATCTCGAGAAGATTCCGTTGAAATATCTGGAATGAAAAAACAAATCTGAATTATTGAAAAATGAAGAACATCGTTCATATAGACGTACAAAAAACGGCTTACACATTTTACAAAATTGATGAAGTACAAGAATAGATCTGGTAATATATATCCATCTTTTGAAATTCAAGAACAAATTTCCATAAACTGTAAATGGTTGTATTATCGCTACGGGTATATTTCGCGAGTTATCCATGAAGCTTTTTATTCGCAAAAACCTGAATGCAAATTAAAAGGTTGCCATTTCAACTCTGGTAGTAAGTATCAATACGGAAATAATATTTGGGGAAAATCAAATTCGCGAATAATTATTTTAGTGGATAAACAAACAATTAAATGATTTCGCGAAAATAAAGTGATTAACATTGTCTTACTGAGGTTAACAGGATTGTCGAGGTCTAGCGTTTTACATGTATATATATATACAGAACGAAAGATAGTGTGTGCGGAAGCTGTGATATTATATATAAGCATTGTGTAAAAGACTAATGTCTATTTTCAGTGTGAATAACTAATATAAATAAAGGTAATAGGTCATGCAAATCACTAATTCTTTGTTTTCATTTTACCATTAATTGAAGAGACATCAAAACGAAATACTTAAATTTTGCGACTCGTGGAAGATTAATTGTCTTGTCGTAACATCATTTAAGCATAAACCGGCATTCTCTTCTATAAACCTGTTTAGAATTAAATGACTATAATTCAATTTTGGCTTTACCCCAATGATACATTTTGTATAAAAACGCAAAAAGTTATGACCTCATTAATGGGATTTTTGCCGGGATATTTGTAATCCTAACGTCTGATTGGTTGAAGTTTATCGGCAAATAAAATCACAGCGCAATGTGTATTTAGAGACAATTTTACTGTACACTAAAATGAGCTGTTTGGCTTTTTGATTGTATGCACCGACGTGAACATAGTAATTCGTTGTATGCGAGGGCCAGTCAATACATTCTGTCATTAGTGTCAAGAATCGCATACAGTTTGACTTTTCCATTACCTTCCTTCAAAGTATCCTACCTAGCAGAAACATACTTTCGCAATCGGGCTATCCATGGCGCAAACGCTGTGCGGATGTGTCCTCTTGGTACTCGCAAGACACTGGAAGATTGCACTACAAATAACACTCGTAGAGGCATACCGTTTCCCAAAAAGCATTTTCCTGCAGTAAAGGAAACAGGAAAAAGCCCCAGGGACTTAGATCTGGTGAATAAGGAAGGTAGTCTATCTGTACTACCTTCTCTTGCTTTAAAAACATCGGTACAATATTGCTGTGTGGGATGCAACATTGCCGGGAATTAGCTGGATGTCATTCATGTATATTTTGTTGAAAGGTTGCAGTACTTTGTCTCTGTAAAACGTGGCAGTGATACTGTTCCCGTCCTTACACGGTATCTGAACCACAGGCCCACTAGAATTTAAAAAAAAATGACATACAGAACATTCGTGGCCCCCACACCAGACATGTATCTGTCATTATGTCTAAATCTAGCCCCCCCACCAGACATCTATCTGTCATAATTTTTAAATCTGGCCCCCACACCAGACATGTATCTGTCATTATCTCTAAATCTAGCCCCCCCACCAGACATCTATCTGTCATAATGTTTAAATCTGGCCCCCACACCAGACATTTATCTGTCATTATGTCTAAATCTGGCCCCCCCACCAGACATCTATCTGTCATAATTTTTAAATCTGTCCCCCACACCAGACATCTGTCATTATGTCTAAATCCAGCCCTAGCCCCCACACCAGACGTCTATATGTCATTATTTCTAACTCTGGACCCCACACCAGACATCTATCTGTCGGTGTGTCTAATTCTGGCCCCCACACCAGACATCTGTCATTATGTCTAAATCCAGCCCTAGCCCCCACACCAGACATCGATCTCTCATTATGTCTAAATCTAGACCCCACACCAGACATCTATCTCTCATTATGTCTAAATCTAGACCCCACACCAGACATCTATCTCTCATTATGTCTAAATCTAGACCCCACACCAGACATCTATCTGTCATAATTTTTAAATCTGTCCCCCACACCAGACATCTGTCATTATGTCTAAATCTGCCCCCCACACCAGACATATATCTGTCATTATTTTTAAATCTGGCCCCCACACCAGACATATATCTGTCATTTTGTCTAAATCTGGCCCCCACACCACACATCTATCTGTCATTATGTCTAATTCTGGCCAGCCCCCACACCAGACATCTATCTGACATTATGTCTAAATCTGGCCCCTACACCAGACATCTATCTGTCATAATGTTTAAATCTGGCCCCCACACCAGACATCTATCTCTCATTATGTCTAAATCTGCCCCCCACACCAGACATATATCTGTCATAATTTTTAAATCTGTCCCCCACACCAGACATCTGTCATTATGTCTAAATCCAGCCCTAGCCCCCACACCAGACGTCTATCTGTCATTATGTTTAAATCTGGCCCCCACACCAGACATCTATCTGTCATTATGTCTAATTCTGGCCCCCACACCAGACATCTATGTCATTATTTTTAAATCTGGCCCCCACACCAGACATATATCTGTCATTATGTCTAAATCTGGCCCCTACACCAGACATCTATCTGTCATTATGTCTAAATCTGGCCCCCACACCAGACATCTATCTGTCATTATGTCTAAATCTGGCCCCCACACCAGACATCTATGTGTCATTATGTCTAAATCTGGCCCCCACACCAGACATCTATCTGTCATTATGTCTAAATCTGGCCCCCACACCAGACATCTATCTGTCATTATGTCTAAATCTGGCCCCCACACCAGACATCTATCTGTCATTATGTCTAAATCTGGCCCCCACACCAGACATCTATCTGTC